ATATATATATAAGTGTCAGTCTTTCCGGAACATTTTCAAAAGTTAAGTTGAAAAAGATCTACTTTCTATACGCATTTTAAAAACTTTGCACCCCCCCTGTATAAAGGGAAAATGTCCGATTTAAAAAAAAAGGACGTCGAATGAAAGAGGTTTATATAAAGTATTTATTGTTAAAAAATAGAATTGATTCATGCATTTTTTAAAAAGTTATAGCATCATAATGTTAAAAAATGTAAAATATAATATCAAGAATTTTTTCACAAAAATAGCATATTTTTGCATACGGTAGTCATTTTCACCATGAAGACAAGTCCAGAGGTCAAATTTTTTTTTTTCAAATTAAAGTATATTACATTAGCTTTAATTTAAGGTATATATAAAAGTGTCAGTCTTTCCGGAACATTTTCAAAAGTTAAGTTGAAAAATTTAATTTTTTGTAAAAAAAGCTACCATTTTGAAACCCTTCCTGTAGGCTGTTAAAGGGTCAAATGTTCACAAAAATATATAAAATGATAGGTAAATATTTAAGGTATCTATAAAAAAAAAAATTATATTGATTCGGTCATTTTTAAAAAAGTTATGGCAATTTTAAGTAAAAAAAATTGAAAAAATATCGAAAATTAGCGATTTTTAAATTTGTAATTTTTTGGGGGATTTCCCCCGTTTACGGGGAACGAGGGAATTTTTTTCAATTTTTGAGGGTAATGTCTTCGACTAGATACGATTTGTGATCTTTTGACATATTGTTCATCAAAATCGGTCCAGCGAGAGCTGAGATTGAGCGTTCACAGACACAAAAAAAAAATAAAAAAACACATCATAGTAAAATTAATACCTTCTCAGCTTCGCATCGAAGCTAAAAACAATTCGAGGAGACTATTGTTTTAATATATGTGCTTAAGAAACTTTGCACAACGATTACATCACAGTGTTATTATTCACTAAGGTCCGTCTAGATGGGGCTCCGCCTCAGACATGGAGCCCTACGAGCCTTACTCGCCTTCGGCGTTTTAACAAAATTTAATGATAATATAAGTTATTTAATTGAAAGAAAGGTATCCTTTACAACGCGGTGCGAGGAGTGATTTGTATTCTATTATTGTTTGTTTAAGAAATGTAAACAAACAATGACGAATAATATGTTATATATTGCTAATCCATACGTGAAACTGTATGAGCTCATTTATGGCTTATTATGGTAAGGATTATATAAACAAAATTAAACGACTACACGCCTAAGCGGCTTAGTACATCTCTGCTAAGCATAAGTGAAATGTATTGATTTCATTAAGTAATATAAAACAAAATTACACTACAGATTTGCATTGAACCGTTTTTTATTATAGTGATTTTAATCACTGTCAGATATCATTTATACATGTCCCAAATATGCCACGTCCATACTGTGCTATGACCCAACTGTGCAGGGTTTTTTTAAATTATTTTTTTCGTGTGTTTATAATTAGTAATAATCTTAAAAAAGAGGTGATCGAAAAAATTTAGACTTGAAATCAGCGTAAAAGTTTAGTTTAGTAAAGTTTATATTGGACTATAATCACTTAAAAATATTTTATTTTACTGTGCAATTCAGTATAAATACAAATTTTATACTCCTATTAATTTAGAGATATTTAATTAAAGAGTTTTTTTGTAGTGACAATTTTATATTTTTTCTTATGGCATAAACGTATAGATTGAACTTACTTTTTTGTTAGTGCCACATCCCAAAGTTTCAGGTTTGATTTTTGTAGATTTCTGAACATTTAATTCTTTAATGTATGATAGATGATGATAATCATCAATTAGAGATTCCGAGTTTGCCAATTTAGATTTTCCCTTCGAAATATATTTTGAGATTCTTTCTTCGGGATTATATATTTCGTCTTCTAATTCATTGGACAACATTAACAATTCAATTCCCTGTTCGTCTTCAAACATTTCAACCTCCTGTATTTTTCTATAATCCTTAGTGATTTTTTTTTTATGATTTTCATCTAAATTTATCTAAAATAACAAAATATTTTATTTATATGTTGATGCGAAGTTGAGTAGATAAATTGATATTTAAAAAGCCTACTTTAAATATTTTTCTCTAGTTCCTCGTCACTAGCGGAAATCTTACAAAAATTACAATTATAAAAATCAGAATTTTCTATATTTTTTATACGTTGTTTTATTAAGTGCCATAACTTTTTAAAAATATTTGGTGACGAAAAGTGGATCTACTACGACAACCCCAAGAAAAATTGTACTACTCATTGTGTAATATTATATTTTTACTTATAATATTAACATATAATATGATGTTATCATTTGTACATGTATGTCACATATTATGATTATACAAGATCACTAAAACAGGGTTCTCTTATTTAAAATATAAAATAACCCTTTAATCATGCGAAAAAATCTCCCTCTTGTAGAAATTATTAAGTAACGCCTACACGCAGGGTCCTCCTTATAATTAACCAATTAGAATACAAAGCCTCAGCTTCCAGGATCACGGTAGAGATCACTGGGCTACACCCTTCAGACTATAAAAAGCCATTTTTTCCCGTCTAAACCAGTTCTTTCGGCGATTTATAAAGACACAAAATCTACGACACTCTACTTAAGATTTCACTCTCCGGGACTTAATCGATTTTTTAATTAATTTGGACTTAGAATATTTTTCTTTGAAACTAAATGATACTTAGAAATTTTAAAGTGAATTTTGTTTTGGTGAATTTTTTAATTTAATTTAATTTATTCATTAAATAATAATTTTTTATTTTTATTGTTGTCGAAATAAATATCAAATAATATTTTAAACATTAATTTTTTTTAATTATTTTACTTTAATAATAAATCCAACCCAACTTCAAATTTTATTTATCAATACAAATATATTGTGAGCTTTTCTTATTGGGTAGCTAGTCTTTGAGCTTAATTTTTTTGCTTTAACGAACATCGCGCCGTAGGACAGAGTAAAGGTTGCAACTAAATATTATTCTAGAATTAGGTATATTAGGTTAGAATAATAAGCCTATGTGTATTGGATAGCTAGTCTTTGAGCTTAATGTCTTTGCTTTAACGAGCATCGCGCCGGCGGATAGCGCATAGAAACTTACAAATATATTTTTAGTATTTAATTTTTGTCTTAGTGATTATTGTGCCGCAACCTTTTAAGGCCCTTTTTAGTGCCGGAACACATTGGGCCACCACAATTCCGCCTTGATCAATTTTTTACACAGATATAAATATTTCTGAATTTTGTTTTGGCCAGGCCAGAGGAAAATTTAAGAAATATTGGTGTCGATCTCTCAATAAAATATACTCTCTAAACAATTATTTGTTCAACAGACATAAAAAAAAATTTTAATTATATTTATAATAAAATATAGAGTATTTAGGATCTTTTACAAGTAAGATTAGTCGTAGAGTTTGTGTAATTAAATCTTATTATTTAAAATTTTGAATAGATTTTGTAAGTAATTACATGGACTATATGACGTATAGTGTAAATCGTATATGTAGTACGTTTAATACCAAAATCAACATTGGATTACTTGAAATATTATTGCATTACACAGGACGTAAGGTAAGTACGATTTAATCTATGCTTTCGAATCTCCAATAATCTATTGCGTAATAAACCATTAATAAAAATTAAATAGGAAAATAAGAATCGAAAATTAATAATTAATAAGAGAAACAATTAATGTGTAAATCATATAATAAATATTATAGACGAGACATTTAATTTTAATTATAATTTATATAATAAAAATCACATAATTAATATTTTATAACTATTTATTTATTCATTTATAATTTATTTAATTATTCACTACCTACTACCACCTTTCTTTTTTTTTTCTTTCTTTTTATTTTTGGTTTATTACACTTGCCTGGACAATCATTGCCATCAACATCAACACCAAAACAGAATATTCATGGTTCAAAGTTAATGCTGTGTAGATGATGGGATAAGAGAGGCGTGGTGTACTACGACCTGCTACAACCAGGTGATACTATAACTAGTGTACGGTACAGACAGCAATTAATTCTAGTCAAATACTAGTATCTAGTCAAAGACATTACCCTCAAAAATTGAAAATAATTCCCTCGTTCCCCGTAAACACGGGAAATCGCCCAAAAAATAACAATTTTAAAAATCAGTAAATTTTGATAGTTTTTCAATTTTTAGCTTCGATGCGAAGCTGAGAAGGTATTAGTTTTACTAAGATGTTTTTTTTTTTTTTTTTTTTTTTTTTTTTTTTT